AGGTCCTGAGGGAACTTGAATTGCCCTGCAGGGCCTCCACTCTTTTTCTTCCAGCTGTGCCATCTCACTTTAAACAGATGATGAAATCCAAAACTCTATATAGATAGTAGCAAGTATCAGGTGCACTAACCAAGTTTTTCTATGATTCTCTTAAAAATTAAGCTCGCTTGGTGAATTTTCAAATATTTAGATTTATAAGAATTAAATTTACATTCAGCTTTTAGATACTGTATATATTGACTTAAGGGAGAGACACATGAAACTGAAAATTTAACAGATGACGATTTTAAAAATTTCTAAAATTATATAAAGAACAATTATTGTGTTGGTGTTCAGTTCTGAATTTTGAGAAATGCATGGAATTATGTAATCACCACAATAATCAGGTTCAAAATAGTTTTATTACCACTCCCCCAAATTCTCTTGTGGTGCTTTTTTTTTTCTTTTCTTTACGCAGTCTTGCTCTGTCACCAGGCTGGAGTGCAATGGCACGATCTCAGCTCACTGCAACCTCCGACTCCTTGGTTCAAGAGATTCTCCTGCCTCAGCCTCCTGAGTAGCTGGGTATACAGGCATGTGCCACCACACTCAGATAATATTTTTGTATTTTTAGTAGAGATGGAGTTTCACCATGTTGGTCAGGATGGTCTTGATCTCCTGTCCTTGTGATCTGCCTATCTTGGCCTCCCAAAGTGCTGGGATTACATGTATGAGCTACCACACTTGGCCATGCTCCTGTTTTATAGTCACCTCCTCCCTCCATCCCTAACCCCTGACAAACAGTACTCCATCTCTATAGTTTAGCCTTTTTCAGAATGTCACATAAATTATAGACTATTGCGTTTTGCATGGATGTACAGCAGTCAAAGGGCATTTAGACTGTTTCTAGTCTTTGGTGATTATGAATAAAGACACTCTTGTTATCTGCTCATAGATCTTTGTGTGAATATATGTTTTCATTTCTGTAGGATAAATGCTTAGAAGTGGGATTGCTACATTTCCCATTTTCCTACACAGTTTTGTCTTTTCTCCTTCTTGCCTTTCAGTGTGTTCTATGCATGTGTGTATTTAACTTCATAAGAAACTGCCAAATAGTTTTCTAGAAAATACTACTTTAGAAAATGGGAATGCACCATTTTGCATTTCCACCAGAAATGCATGAAAATTTCAGTTGCTCTGCATATACTCTGAAAATTCTACTAGACAATGTAAAATAATTATTGTTTTCAATTAGCAATAATCTGCAATAATGTGCCTTGGATAAACCTCATTGGCTATGATATTGCCACTGTGCAAAGCTAAATAATTTTTGTTTTCAATAATTATACATATTTGAAAAAAACTAAGAATAAAAGTTTATTAATCTTATCCCTTTAAAAACATTTCTGTTGCTTTTCAGTTTTTGAAAATTCCTCAGGTTATAGGTTTCCCTTTGGTATCATTTTCCTTGAGTCTGAAGAAGCTTCTTTAGCATTTCTTTTAGAGCAGATCATCTGGTGGCAAATTTTTAGTTTTCCTTCCTCTGAAAATGTCTTTATTTTTTCATTCTTGAACAGCCTATTCAATGGATATAGAAGTCTGGGTTGACAGTTGTCTTTTAGCATGTTAGCAATCTTGTCCCATCATCTGTTAGCCTCCATGGTTCCAGATGACAATCTGCAGTCATTTGAATTAATGTTTCCTACATGTAATGTGTCATTTTTCAGTGGCTATTTTCAAGATTTTTTCCCCCCTCATATTTGGTTTTTATCAGTTTGATTATGATTTGTTGGTTTTTGTTGAGTTTATCTTGCTTGAGATTCATTGAGTTTTGTGTGTGTGTGAATTAATGTCTTTCACAAAATTTGGGAAGTTTTCATCCTTTTTCTTTAAATGTTGGTTCTGGATGTATCTCTTTCTTATTGTGAGACTAGTAACGTGAATGTTGGAATTTTTGATGAATGTTAGAATTTTTGATATCATTCCAGAACTTTCTAAGGTCCAGTTTGTTTTATAATTCATTTTTCTCTCTCTTTTTTATATTAGAAAATTACTAGTGATCCATATTCAGATTCACTCACTCTTTTATCATTTTCACTCTGTTTTTGGGCTCATGCAATGAATTATTTATTTCAGATGTTATGTTGTCAGTTCTAAACTTTTTATTTTTAAAAAATAGTTAATTTTCCTCTGATGACTATGTCTATTTTTACATTTTTGTCAAAAGTGTTTACTTGTATTTCACAGTGTTTAGTATAATACCGCTTTAAAATCTTTGTCAGATCATTTGGATTATCTCATGTTTGGCATTTCGATTGTCTTTTCTTGAGATTTGGTGACATTTTCCTGGTTGTTGGCATGTTAATTAAGTAACTTTGGATGGTATTCTAAACATTTTGAATATTGTGTGATGAGAGTTTTAGTTATATTAAAGTACTCTAGAGAATGTTTCTGTTTGTTTGTTTTAGCAGGTGACCAACCTGATTGTGTTTCAACCCTAAGTTCTGCTTCACCCTCTGGGATGAGTTCAGTGTCAGTTTAATATTCAGTCTTTCCTGTGTTATGAAATCTGCCCCCTGCCTGACCCCTCAGAGATTAGTTTGGACTTGTTCAGTGGTTTCATAGTTCAGTTCTCAAGCCTATACTCATTTGGGTCTGTTTTATGCATGTGAGGTTCATTAGTGAGCTTGGGATTTGTGTTAGTTCCTACACAGAATTACAATATCTGCTTTTCCAGCTCTCTTCTCTACAGAATTTCCCTCATACTTTATGATCCTATCATAAAGTTAGGGTTTCTTTTTCTGATTCCTCTGGTCAGAAGAATGGGTTTCTTTAAGAGTTTTAGCCCCTCTCCACATTGTAGAGGAAAAGTGGTGAGAGAAAAGGAAGGGAAAAAATAGTAGAAAAAAGTAGTAAGGAAAAATAGTAGAAATCATCTCCACCGTTGGGCTCACAGAAATGTTTCTTTTCTTTCCTTTTCCTTTTTCTTTTTCTTTTTTGAGATGGAGTCTTGCACTGTTGCCCAGATTGGAGTGTAGTGGTGTGATCTCAGCTCACTGCAACCTCCTCCTTCTGAGTTCAAGCAACTCTTCTATCTCAGTCTGCTGAGAAGCTGGGACTACAGGCGTGTGCACCACGCCTGGCTAATTTTTGTATTTTTAGTAGAGACAGGATTTCGCCATATTGTCCAGGCTGGTCTTGAACTCCTGACCTTAAGTGATTCACTGGCCTCAGCCTCCCAAAGTGCTGAGATTACATGTGTGAGCCACCATGCGCGGCCAGCAGCTTTTCTCTTCAGTCTTATGTGCCCATGCCACTGCAGTGACAGTGCAGCTCTGCAACTGGGCTGGCCTCAGGAGATAGCGCAGAGAGGAACGAAAGGGGATAAAGAGAAAACAATGGGAATTTTTTCGATGCTTTCCTTTTTACTGGTTCTATGGCCAGAAAAAGGAGGTTTCTCCCAGTTTTTGTTAACTGCATTAACCATACCCCTCCAGCAACTTGTCCACCTTCAGGTCAAAGCTGGGAGGTAAAGAAGACAGACAAAACCAAAGCAAAACAGAAAACAAAGAACATCACCATAACACTGGTCATTCTTCAAGTTCCATCTTTCCTCCGCAATCCACTTGCTATTATTTATGTTTTAGAGCTTCCAGTAGTTTCTTTTTACATTCCGTAGACTTTTTGTTGTAATTAATGGAAGATGTAGGCTGTAGTAAAGCTACTCCATTTTAGCCAGCACTGGAAGTCCTTGGACTGCTGAATTTTAACATGTGCTCGTCTTATTGCTTGTCTGTCCTCTGTCCTTGGAACCCTCTTAGAAGGTTAATCAATTCCCATTGTGGCCTCTTCTCCCAAGTGCCACGTTATTTGTGCTCTAGAAGACTCTGACACTGCTCCTTTTAGAAACTTTTAGAAACTTTGCAGCAACCAAGTTCATGCCTCACAGCCCTGTTATCCTTAGTCAGGTCCCAGTTGGAAGCCTCTCTGATCATCTATCTCTAAGACTCTCATGTCCATGAGGCTTGAAGTTGTCTTTCCATGACCCACACTTCTATTTCTTCATTTACTCTAAGCTGTTCCATTTTGCCCTCTTGAAACACAGTCTTCTACATCCTACCCTCTTCTCACAATGTTTTGTTTCTTACCTTCTTGTTTGTAATTAAAACCTGGTTCTTATCCTGAGGACACTTATTCTTCTGCCATCCTCCCAAGAAGAGGTTGCTTCATTTCCCAGTTCCTTGCAGAGTCTTGTCCTTCCTCTTTCTTGCCTCAATACAGAGAAGTTTCCCTCCCTTTCTCTGTGCATTTGATTCCATCCTTTGCCCATCTCCTCAGTTCTGGCGAATGCAATAAAATAAGAAATTAAAACGCCAGCAAAAAATATTTAAAAGAAGACAAAATTATTTTTAATATAAAACTTAATGCAAATATAGTGATTTACCTAGAAATTCAAGAAAAATCAGCTGAAAAGCCAATGGAACATATAACGAATTTATTCAATTATTAAATTGTCCCCAAAGCACTAATATTTACAAGGCTGATCAATTTAACAGAATTACCTTTACTTCTCCCTCCAGTATACATTTTACCTTTACTGTATATTAAATTAATATTCATACTTGGAGGGAAGAATTATTTAACAAAAGATACTATAATTGCAAACTTTCACTAACAAATTTAAGTTATATTCCTACCTTATACCATATACTGAAATCAATTCAGATGAATTAAACAATTAGTGTAAAAGAGAAAACAAAACCAAACTAAACAAAAAATGGATTTTTTTTCTGCAAAGGTAGAAACTACAGTGCAAAATGTGAGTAGAGTGACAACATAAAAATGGTAAACATCTATGTCAGAAAAACATGCAATATTATAAGGTGTATCTAGGAACTCTGTATTATCTTGGCAATTTTTCTATAAATCTAAAATTCCTCCAAAACAAAAAATCATAAACCTACATTCACATGCACAATAAAAACATTACAAAATTAATTTTTTGCACTTTTGAAGTTTACCTTCCAGATATACTTGCACATGTGCAAAATGGCCATTGTGGTAACTTCTGCAGAAGTTACCAGATTGTTTCTAACAGCAAGAACTGTATCAAACCTGAATGATGATTGCAAAGGACTGATTAAAAATTATGGTATGTTCATACAATGGAATGCCATGCAGTTGTTTCAGTTACAAAGAAACATCTAAAGAACTAAAAGCGGAACTACCATTGGATCCAGCAATCCCACTACTGGGTATTTACCCAGAGGAAGAAAAGTCATTATACCAAAAAGATACTTGCACATGTATGTTTGTAGCAGCACAATTTGCAATTGCAAAAATGTGGAACAAACCCAAATGCCCATCAGTCAATGAGTGGATAAAGAAACTGTGATATATATGTATGTATGTGTGTGTGTATATAGATATATACGTATGTATCTATACATGTAGTATACATACGTATATATCTATATACACACACACATATATATACACATGTATATACACACAAACACACACACACACACAGTGGACTACTACTCAGCTGCAAAAATGAATGAATTAATAGCATTCATAGCAGCCTGGATGGAATTGGAGACTATTTCTCTAAGTGAAGTAACTCAAGAATGGAAAATCAAACATTGTATGTTCTCACTCATAAGTGGAAGCTAATCTATGAGGATGCAAAGGCGTAAGAATGACACAATGGACTTTGGGGACTCAGGGGGAAATGGAAGGAAGAGAGTGAGGGATAAAAGACTACAAACAGGGTACAGTGTATACTGTTCAGGTGATGGGTCCACCAAATCTCACAAATCACCACTAAAGAACTTATCCCTGTAACCGAACACCACTTGTTCCCCAATAACCTATAGAAATAATAAAAAAAATGAATTGCAAGGAAACATCTGATACAGAAAGGTGTTAAAGACACCTTTTTCTTAAAGTAAAAAATATGTAATTTTTAAATATGTATTATATGTAAAATATTTAATTAAAAATTATATATGTAAAATATTTAATAATTAAAAACAAGCTATGAAACTCACACAAATAAAAAACAAAAAATAAATAAATAAAACTAAGTGTTATGCTATCTTTGGGTAAGATGGGATGAGAATATATATTTATATTGCTCTTCTGTGCAGAAAGAAACCCTTGAAGGATACATAGAATCCTCAAAACAATGGCCAGGGGAGGTTATGACAGCAATGGTGGTGGAGTTGAGGTGTGGACGGAAGACCATGCATATATAAAAGTCAATTCTAAAGTTAGGTCTGTGACTTTTGAGTTATGTGAATGCAGTGTCTTTGTGTGTGTGTGTGTGTGTTTTAAGAAACAGGGTCTTGCTATGTTGCCCAGGTGGGCTTTGAATTCCTGGGCTCAAGCGATTCTTCCGCCTCAGCCTCCCAAAGCTCTAGGATTATAGACGTAAGCTACCACAGCTGGCTGCAAAATCTATTTTAATAATTAAAAAACAAACTCTTTCCCCAACAAAATACTCCAGAGTGCCATGCATAGCACTGAAGGCAGAGTGGGGCTGTCATGGCAGGACTTCAGGCGTCTGTCAGAGCATGCATGGAAGTTATTATTTTTAAGTCCTGGGACTTTCCCTCAGCATTCAGAACCTCTGATCACATCAACAACCATTTAGTCAGCCTTCCTGAAGTTTCCGTTTTCACTTTTACACCAGGCTGGTTATTCCAGATGCCATCAAGACTGGAAACTCCAGGAAAGGAAAATCAACAAAATTCCTCTCCAAGTGTTGTGGAGGAGGGCTCCTATGGTGAGCCTGCCAGCTACTTCTCTTCACTGCTTGGGAAACCACCCACAATATCAGTAGTCAGGAGTGAGATTTCCAGCTGTCCAGATGTGGCTTTGTCCTCTTGGTGAACCCAGTAAATCCAGCCATCTGCACATACGCCCATGTTTCCCAAGAATAACCATCTGGTGTTGGGATGTGCAACAGAGCCCCAATATTCGCAGCAAACCAGTCTTTCTATGGCTTAATCTCCTTCTCAAAACTTTGGGTATTCCAACTCCTCACTCCTTCCTTTCATTCTTCAGAGTTCCTGGGGACTCCTGTGGGCTCAAGCATGGCCATCTGGGTTTGTTTACCTTGCCCTTCTCTGTGGTCCTCACCTTACCAAGCATCTTCCACTCTCTACAATGATCCCCTCCCGAGAACCCTGCAATGTTGCTGGGGCCCGATAGGAGGAGTCGCCCGTAGTCTCTGCATTTCTGTGGCCCTGCGACACCTCTATTCTGCACTCCCACAAGTAAATGCTGAAGTGTGGGAATTGCCTTCTACCTTCACAATCTTCCATTGTGACATGACTGTAATGCTTTGAGCCCCACCATGAGCACCGAGACTCCTAACAATCCTAGGCCCCCAGCAGCAGTCATCAGAGACTGGCAGAGAGAATAATCCTGATGCATGCATTGCTGTATTTGAAATCATCTCGCCCCCCTCCCTCCAGTTCTAGTCATTTTCTTCAAACAGTGCTGTGATCCTCAGCCTCACCATGCCCCTGTCCCTGAGGAGTTCCTTTTCTATCCATTTACCTTTCCAGTGAGTAAAGGGGAGGCTTTTGTTAGAGAAGGGTTAAGAGTCTTGCTCCTGGAAAGTGGGAGTCAAGAAGACATTAAGAAGCTTGCAGGGATGTCTGGACATCACTGGATTTACAGTGAGAACATGTCTTAGGATTTCCTTCTGATGTTTCAGTACACATACACACACGTGTGCAACACATACATATACCCACACACACACAAAGCATGCAACAGTGGTAGACTTATGGAACTGGCAGAAATGCCAACAGCCTCAGACAGCTTTAGTTACTATCATGGGGTGAACTCATCCCTGACATCCAGAAGATCTTTCTTGTTTTTTCCCTTCTTACTGTATAGCTCTAGAATTAAGACTGAACTGAGGCATGTGGGAGGCCAAAGCAGGCTAATTGTTTCATATCTTTTAAAGCTAATATTCTTCAAATGTTTATTTCAGTGTCTATTTAGGGGCGTGGCTAACGGCTGCATGAAGTGGGGGATTCAGAGGATCACAGAAGGATGGCAGTGGCAGTCAGTAGTAGCCCCTGACTATTTACATCCTCAGCCATCCAGCTCTCACCTAAACCTGCTTTCACCCAGCGAGCCCTTCAGAGGGAAGTCAGGTGGCCGTGTGTTGTTATTTGAGCACCTTTGGGGTTTCTGCTTCACTTCGGTAGAACTGCCAGACTTTTACTTCCAGTTATATCCAGTACCACCTTTGAAAGAAATGTGAGCACACACCATCAAATAATTATCCGTTTGGTTATGTTTCTGGTAACATTTTAGTGACTCTTTTTTTGAAGGAAAATTGTCATTGTTTTAATTATTTTTATGTACAACAGTTTCATGGCATTTTGTTTAGCCTTTGCCTTTCCAAGCTTTGTGATGCGAGCCACAGACTTGGGACCCAGGACATTGCCTCCCCAGTGACGGCGGATCTCATCGTATCTGTTGCGGTAATTGTTGTGGGTAGCTTCCACCAGCTTAGCCAAAGCGCCTTTGTCTTCTGCCTTAACATGTGTGAAGGTGACAGTGGTGCAGGTCTTCCTGTGCACTAGATGTCCCAGTCTTGCCTTCCCCTTAATGATGCAATAAGGGGCTCCCATTTTAAGACACAAGGCAGGCAAGACAACAGCCATCTCAATGGGATCCACATCATCTGCAATCACCTCCAGCTGAGCTTTCTTGTTCTCCACCAAGGTGGTGACGGTGTTGACTCCTGCTTGAAGGACAGGTGGTCTCTTGGTGGGGATGTCCCCTTTGCCAGCCGCGTTTTTCTCGGCCCAGGCCGACAGCCTCTGCTTCTTTTCTTGCTTCCTCTCTGGTGTGTATTTGTGGGCCAGCTTAAGCAGCTGAGTGGCCGTTTGGCAGTCCAGGGCCTGGGTGAATTGCTTCACTGAAGGAGGCGCTTTCAGCTGCTTGTAGAGGACAGCTCTCTGCCGCTGCAACCTGATATAGCGGGGCCGTTTGACAAAGCGGGTGAGGTCTCTTTTGGGCTGGATGGCCTTTCCCATGCCAAAATTTTTAAGCCTTTTTTAAAAATAGGGGATTCACCACTTTCTTAGCCTCCTGCTTCTTCATGACAGCAGGGGCCGGAGCCACCTTCTTCCCCTCGGCCTTCTTTCCTTTTGGCATCTTGGGCGGCGGGAAGACAGAGAAAGGCACATTTTAGTGACTCTTCGAGATGAGCAGTCTAGACAGCTATCAGTATTTCCTTCTTCTCAATCTAGTTTTGGTTCTTTGTGATCTCCTTCTTGTATAGCAGATTGCGTTTCTCTCTCCCTGCTGTGTAGAGGACTCTTACTTAAGTGCTACTTCCTTAGTGACGCCTTTCCCAGGAACCAGACTCCATGGTGACTTTGTGTTGCTCTGAACTCTGGTAGCTCTTCTCACGGGTGGCAAATCTGTCATTTGTTTTCCATCTGTCCATCCATTCCACAGAGCGTGATTATAACCAGGATTGCTGCTGGGCTCTGAAGATAGTAAAAAAGAACGAGGCAGTGTGTCTACCTTCAAGAGGGTTGTAGTCTATAGTCTGTGCTATACTGTAATGATTCCCGTGACTGTGTTTCATATTTCCAGCTAAATTGAGTCTTGAAATTATGGACCTTACCTTTTCTTTCTTTGGGCAGTGTTGCAAAGCTGGGTTCCCTGAAATCAGAGGCTACAATGGTTTGTGTGCAGGAAGTTTGGGGATCAACCCTTATGGAAGAGTGAGGACACACGGTTGGGCGAGAGAAACCTTGCACTGTGAAACAGTCCCAATGGAAGCCATCACCAACCCTGTGGGGAGTCCTGAGACTAGGACAACCCTTCAGAGTCATCCTAACTTGGGAATAACTGGTTTATCCTAAGTTGGGGGTCACTGGCACCATTTCATAGGCAACTTTTCAAAAATTCACACTGAATGGAAATCCAGTCCAATGGGGCTCGCTTCTTGATGGCTGTAGAAAATGGGGTAAGAACGGTCTGAAAGTGCTGCTTCTTAGCCTCTCATTCACTCTGAGTCTGCTCAGCTGTAACAGATGCACCTTTAGGTGAATTGCGTGCACACCACTCAGCTTTCTGTCTGGGGCTTCTCAGCTGCAGGCAACAGTTGCAGCCACATTCCTGAACTCACATTTGGAAACCTCCTGTATGCTCTGTGCTTGGCAGGTCAGAAAATCCACTTGTCGAGTCTGGGATGTTAGAAATAGGTAATATTTTCTGCAATGGAATTTTTTAGTATTATCCCTAATAGCACTATAATAATCTCCATTACTGTCTCTATTCTCTGCCTACTTCGCCCACACTCATTTGTTAAGGGCCAATGAAACTGCACTTTAATCGAATAATACTGGCTGAATAGAACAAGAAGGTACAGGAAGTGGGAGTTTCCTTTCTCCTTCAAGTGGGACATCCATCCTCTTCTGCTTTCTGATATCAGGCGTTTGGATTCAGACCAAGACCTACTGTATTTACATCACCCAGACCCCGCCATGTTCTCAGGACTTCAGACTTGGACTTGGACTTAAACCTTTGGCTTTCTGGGTTCTCAGGCCTTTGTCCTTGGGTTGGAAATACACCAACTGCTTTTCTGGGCCCCAGCTTGCAGATGACAGATCATGGAACTTCTCAGCCTCCATCATTGTGTAAGCCAATCCTTCATAATAAATCTATTCTATATATCTCTCTATATCCTATTGATTCTGTTTCTCTAGAGCACTCTGACTAATACCAATATCTTTTGTCTCAGCTCAGCCTGCCATAACAAAATACACAGCCCAGGTGGCTTAAACAGCAGACATGTATTTCTTACAGTTCTGGAGGTTGGGAGGTCCAGACGAAGGTGCTGACAGGTTTGGTTCCTGAGGAAGGTTCCCTTTCTCTGGCCTGTTGACAGCTGCTTCTCACTGGGTTCTTACATGATAGAGAAGTGAGGGGAGAGAGCGAGCGAGCTCTGGTCTTTCTTTCTCTTCTTATATTAGAACACTTAGGTTTCCTCTTCCTCTTCTTAGGTTTCACACTAATCCCTTCACAGGGCCTGCTACATTTTGTTTGTGTCCCCTCCAAAATTCAGATGTGGCCAATGTAATAGTATTAAAAGGTGGGGCCTTTGAAAGATGATTAGGTTATGAGAGCTTATCCCTCATGAATTAGGTGCCCTTATAAAAAGCCTTGACGGGGGAGTTCTCCCCTTTTGCCTTCCTGTCTTTGGGCAGGGAGGACACTACGTTCCCCTTCTTCAGAGGAGAGTGTTCAAGGTGCCATTTTGGAGGCAGAGACCAAGCCTTTGCTGACAACAGACCAACTGATGCCTTAATCTTGGACCCTCTGGCCTCTAGAACTCTAAGAAAACAAATTGCTGTTCTTTATAAATTACCCAGTCTCAGGTATTTTGTCAGAGAAGCATAAGTGCCCTAAGACAGGGCCCCTCATGACCTCACATAAACCTAATCATCTCCCTAAGGCCCTGCCTCCTGATACCATCATATTGGGGCATAAGGTTTCAACATACAGATTTTGAGGGGACGCAAAGATTTGTTCCGTAATACCTTGAAGCTCCTTTCAGCTTTCTATCATCCATTGCTGGAGGGAGCCAGGCAGCAGAAATGATAGTTCTGGGGAGTGTTATGGTTTCCTCTATGCATGCTCTCCTTTACAAAGAACCCTAAACAGAATCATTAAAACTAATCCTCATCTTAAGTGTACCTCTTAATTGTACCAGAACACACTTTAAAATGGGCAAGTCTCATACCTGGAATGTACGTTTTGGATTAGGATCAGTTTTAGACATGTCATTTCTTTAGCTAAAGTGAAGGGAAAACAAATTTCTATTTAATCTTCCGTAAGGTCTTTCCTCAGCATCTTCTACTTCTTCTCCTGCCATCAGATTCTTACCTTGATTGAAAAGCCACGTTAAGTGCAAGGCAAATTCTTTACTTCTTTGCACAGAGATTAACAACCTCTGGGTGATGGGAGCGTTAAGTGATTTAGCTTTGTCGCTACTAGATATGTGACATTAAAAAAGTTGCTGTCCTTTCTAGGTCTTAGTACCTCAGCCATGCAATTACAGGCAGTCTTCATTATTGGGTGCAAATTCTACATAAAGTTGGGAACACATGTCCAGATTAAAAAGGATGGCTAGTAAAAAAAAAGAGAGAGAAAAAAAGAAGAGAATGAATAAGACCTAGTATTTGGTAGCACAACAGAGTGAATATAGTCAATAATAACTTGATTGTACATTTGATAACTAAAAGCATAATTGGATTGTTTGTAACACAAAGTATAAATGCTTGAGGGGATGGATACCCCATTTTCCATGATGTGATTATTACCGATTGCATGCCTATGTTAAAGTATCTCATGTGCTCCATATATACATGCATAGACACCAACTAGGTACCCACAAGAATAAAAAAACAACAAGATGAAAAAATAAAATAATAGGAATGAAGCAATGAAGACTGTATTTTGAAGAGTTGTAAAATAAGTTTTTCTTTCTTTGAGTATAAAATATATTTAAATCACAACTATTTTTTTCTTAGCATGAACAAAGGCTAGCACACATATTCATCATTTTGGGGGGTGTGATTTTTCTGGCAAAAGTATGTGCTGCGTTGTACGTAGCCTTCAGTTCTTGTTTGACTGTCCTACTCCAGTGATGACCGTTTTTTGAAAAATATTTGAGAACTTCATTCATTTTCTTAAGGGCCTCTTTTGATTGTATGATCCCAGCCCACTCTTCTTTGAAGTAACTTATGTCACCATCCTTGCAATTTTCTCTTCTTCCATTCACCATTTTATTTCTGTCAACCTTTATTCATCAACAGCTTTGCACGTGATTGAACAGTGCTTCAGCATCAATGCTATTGGCTTTAGGGATTCTTTTCATAACATACTCAATTTTGAAAGTAATTGGCATCATGTTGGTGTGTATTATGATTAGGAAATGACTGACCAACAGAGACGCTGACTCAAAGGGTGAAACTAAACGCCAGTGCTGAGTCATGTGGCATGTGTGAGAGGTTACTAATTTTAAAAAGTGAAAATTCATTTAGTGAACATTTTCGTATTAAAAATACATTGGCTTCCTCACATAGCTTCATAGCTTGGACACTTGGGTTGTGAGGATCTTTTTTAGTGGGTGGACTAAATAAAAGCTCCAGTCCATTCTAGTTCTTTTATTCTAGGTTTTAGGATCTGAAGTACATTACGGCCACACTCCTTCAATTGAATTGGTTACAACAAAGTGGGAGTGGTATGGATAGCAGATCTAATTTTTTTTTTTTACCAAAAATGTATTAAATATCAACTATTTAACATTTTTAAAAGGTTTACCTATGAGCAATCTGCACCTACTTGAATATAAACTCCTTGAGAAGGTTTTCCATCTTGGGAAATCCAGAGGCAAGAACATATGGGGGTACCTGATATAGAAACACACTCAACAAATGTCAGTTGACTGCTCAGAAACATGGAAGCCTGCTATAGAAATTCTTTCACTAATGAACTATGTTGTCTTGATAATCTCCTCACCTCTCAGAATCTCAGCTGGACAATGAAGAAGTGGGACTGATTCATCCCCAAGACTCATGTGCAGCATTAACATTCTATGATCCTATTCAATCCTAGGCATTTCAAGAGAAGCATTTTTAAAATAAATTGTCTAGAATTCCAGAGTAAGTCATAATAGTTGTGATTTGAAAAGAATCGTAGATTTATTCCTAGGCCAGTGAATTAGCCATGTTAGAGTGGACATTTATTAACTTGTTTATTCTTTTTTTTTAACCTTGATTTTGAGTGATGAAAATATATTTAAACTGCATGGATTTTGATTTTCAAAACTGGAAACCACAGGAGTAAATGGGAAGATCCTGACTATGAAAAATTCTTGTGCCTGGAATGAAAAGCAGCCCCATCATCTCACAAAAAGAGAACACTGAACAGCATATTAGGTGGCAATGCTTTTCATTCACAGTGGGGATTTGTCCTACACAAATAAAGTGCACATTTTAAGAATTTCTCAGCACAAATATGCATAATGGCTTGCTTTTCTCAGCCTGTCATTTGTTCTGGGGGAAACTTGATTGGCTGGGGTGTTTTAGTATCTACTCAAGTGTTCAGGGCCAATGTCGAGTTTGCTTTGGTGAAGACTCTGCATTCATGTCAGGCCATAGCTGAGCGGGGGTGTGATAGCCCCCCACCATAACCCAACTGGTTTGAAGTTTCACCTGCAACACGGTTCGTGACCTGAGAAGCTTTGTCTCCCACTTGGTCAGTGAGTATTAC